CAAAAGGTGTCCTCTCAGGAAAATATTCCTTGATATGGGTGCCATTCTATCAAGCATTTCTTGTAATCGTGGAAGTAATAGGTGGAGGAACACGCCAAGATTCTCAAATCACCAGTGAAGTCTGTGCCAAAAGGCTCAGCGCGAGGAGAATTAACAACTAAGGCAAAGTTCAGCTCACCACAAAAGGTGTATTTCAAATGCATTCCCTTCTCATTCTTCCTGACAACGAAAGATTTTCAGCGTTTGGAACCGTCGACCTCTGTTGTGCCTGATTTCATTCTTCCCACGCATAAAACACCTGCCAAAGCGTCTCTGGACGAATTTGAGCTGAATGAAACGAGGTATTCAGTGTGCTGTACCCGAAATGTTCACAAGTGTCTAAGCATTACATTCTACCTGATTCAGGCATGTCTTTGAGTACGGAAAAGCTTCACGACTCATTGAGGAAGTCAAGAAAAACTCCACTCTTCCTCTGCCTAAGCAGTACGAGCGCCTGCACGACACCTTCCAGTCGTGTGATAGGGTGAGTGGGTTTTACATCGGGCTCTTTTACGCGTTCAGAAGTATATCCATTCGGCTAATTATTTATATCAATAGAGCGAGGTAAACATAGGAAGTTGACCTAGAGATCAAGGTGTTAAATCCACTTAGCACACATCTATATTTGCAGTGCACTACACTGCACTGAATACAGAAAATTATTGAGTGACATAGTCGGGCGCCTCCGGCTTAGGAGAGGGCGGGGGTGAGGCTTTAAGCCCTTTCACTAGTTCCTAGTGAAAGGGCTTAAAGCTCATTTTAACTTAAACATAGCTCATTTTAACTTAAAGTCTCACTTCTTCGAGACCCTTGTGACGCTGCAGATTGGTAAGGTGAGCCGTTCATGCTTTGTTTTCTCCCCCGTAAAGCTGAGCTGCGCCTATTTTATCTACTCGAGGTCCTATTGTTCACTTTACTACTGCTCGCAAGAAGTTGTGCGAAAAAGTCGTATTTTTTATGTAGGTTGTCTCCATATTCACCAACCAAGGAAGGCGATGTGCCGTTCTAGAGATTCAGAAGAATGTCGAGAAGAATACACAACTGTGAGTTCAACTTATTTCTAGATTTGTTTGATTTAGTTTCGTTTATTTTAGTTTAGTTCTGGATTCGTCGTTTCTTGTGCGAATCGATCGTCTAATTTTGAGTAAAATCCGTGCTTAGGAGCTTTACACGTAAACATCTGGCTCAAATCATCCATGTCTACCCAACTTCGTATGATGTTCGTCTAGACAAGCGGCGAAAAGCATTTGGTGGTGATGCGGAGTCATATGGGAAGAAAGAGCTCATCATGACGGCAAATCTAGTGGATGGTAATTTCTATTTTTTTTCAATCTCGTTTTCCATTCCTATAAGGTCATTGAATTTTTCTTGGATGGGATCACATCTGCAAATACAAGAATATCTGTCTTTGGCGGAAATGGTAGCATAGGATTAGTGATCACCTAGTAATTGCAATTATAGATTAATCGATGACCCATGTTCGCTCCATACGCGACAGTTTACCTACCTATAACTTTGATAAATGCAAAAATTTAGATTTGACGGGATTTATGCTGCCTGATACTCCAGTAAAGTGTGATGATCAACCACTTCCCTCCCTCATCACACGCGCAGTACATTCATGTTCCTCCGAAAGAAAAGTGTAACGGCGACTTCCGCAGGTGAAACATACGTTTCATCTGCTCAATATATTAGTTGTTAATAATTTTTATAATATCGGCTATATATGTGTATGGATCTGTGCACGGTCCAATTCCACGGTTTTTCCACGGTAGATCGTTGATTGAGAGTAGTTTCAGAGATCCAGTGCTAGACACTAGGCCTCGTCTTGAAGGTTGGCGTATGACTTGTAGAAGTCATGTGTTCAGGCACAAGCTGGTGGAAATTGCGAAGAAGTTTCATCGAAAATTCTTGGAACGCATAGGATGTGAGTCTTTTCCAGAGTTCAGCCCATGGATCTGCCAACATTCCGTTCGTTTCAGTCACTCTGAAAGATGCCGAACTCGCGCGATTACGCCGCTTTCATCCTAAGTTTGATATTGAGCAAGAATGTGAAGAACTGGAACAGGTAATATCCCTTGAGATATGTTCAATCCCTTGAGTTTAGCGGTGTAACTTGCCACATGTTGTCAATTTGTTTACCCGTTTTATCAATCTGACATTGTTGGCCCCCCCTACAGGTGACTTAGACACTAAATGCCCGCGTTCCCCTCATTTCTTCTTACATTCAGGTCAGATCGAAATTCAGAGCAGCGAAGCTTCGCCTTTGCTAGTCAACTGAAAATTTCACTTTATACTGACCAGAACATCGCCCTTTAGTGGAGAAGCTGACGTGGTGGAAAAGTGCCTGTCATTTGTGCTCAGTCACTTCGAAGAAAAATCGGTCCCTGAACGAAGGAGATCTACCAGGACCATGTAACGTAAAGGCCTCCAAGATCGTAATTCAAGAGCTCAAAGTGCACTGCGTCGAGGAAATTCCCTAGTAGAATGAAAACATTTCGTTGAACATAGGCAAAACGGTAAACGATCTTTATTTGATAGTTCTGACTAACTACGCACCTCGTGGTTAAGGACGGATACTTCCGACGTTTTCCGTTACAATTTGTTCCCTACGATCTGTTCGACTCAGTTCTAAAGAGGAAAAATCGCTGGAAAAGTCACTTTTTGAAAGAGAATATGCGTGCATCCCAATACTTTGACCACCCTTCACTTTTGTCGGAAATATTATTACATTAAATTAAGGCTAAACTCCCTGAAGATGAACATGACGCAAGTGAGCAGCACTTCGAAATGAAGGATTACTTTGCAATGGTCGACACTAGCGTACCACTCCCAAAAGCGGTTTCGGTTGGTGTCAGCCTTCGTTTGCTTTTCTTTCTTGCTTCCTTTTCGGATTCTGTGTCGTGACAGGCTGCGCTTGAAGATTTGAAGAGTCCGGTGAAGAAACTTATCAGCTCTAATTCGGCAGTACCTCTCTCACCGCGTCAATTTGCTGAAAAACAAGCCTCAAAACCGAAAGGATCGATGTCTCTGCTCGAAAGGGTAAGATTTCTCTTCATATATTTTTCGAGTTTCGCTGATGTTTCACTACAGATTCGTGCGAAAGAAGCTGAAAGGAAAGCTGCCGAAAAGCTAAGAGATCCTGTGATAGAAAGAAAAATAGAACTGCTCCAGCGCATTCTACATGGCCTCTTGCGATGTATCACAACGTAAGCTTCTTTCAGTACATTCTTATTAATCATATTCTTGTGAACATTTTTTGAGAGAAGTTCCGAATGATTAATTGTGGACTTATAGGTACTTTGCATTCAAGAAAGTTCGTTCAATGGACTTGAGGACGCTGTCTGAACAGGTCGCAAGGAGCCAGTCGTCTATGAATCGTGGTGAGTGTTTGGGCATATAGATTCCCCCGCAAATTTCAGCTCCACGTGCTGATCCTTAGTTTTCCCCCTTTTATATATTTAGCTTTAAAATTTAAATTTCGAATTTTGGTTGTGGATTTTTCAGTTCCGTCCTGCTTTTAGATTTGCTGATGGAACATCTCACGATACTCTGTGAGGTTGCGCCGAGTTATCTGGCGTTCACGGAATTAGGTGGTAAGAAGTATCTTCAGTTGAAGGAGAACAACTACAATGCCATCGAGAAAGTAGTAGAAGAAGAGGTGGCACGTCTACGGTCCTCCTTGCCATCCGTGACGCAACTTCAACAAGGGGTTCCTGTGGAGAACGCGGTAAAGAAGGCTGCTGTTAGAGCTCTTTTTTAGTGGATAACCTTCTTCATCTCACTCTCGGGTTAGAAGGGTTGAACGAAATGATGCATCAATTATTCTAATTCTTCCTTACTTCGTCGTAGCACGACGCTATGTGAGAGTGCGTTCATACTTCGAAATTCAATCGCCCACAGCGCTCGACATGCGCCCAACAAGCGAGTGAATCGCTCATAAAGCGCACATCGACTGAGTGCAACGGGGGCGCTGCACAGTCAAAGAGCGGCTATCAAAAAATAAGTTACGACAGTCTCTGTCTGGTGTCCGTCCGAGCGCTATAAATCGCACGTTGAGAGCTACGAAAGCCTGGATCGCGAAGTATGGAAGCACTGTAAAGTTGAAGAGGACGGTCAGCCACGGAGATTAGACCGCGTTCAGAGTTCGCGATGCGCGACCGAATCGCTCGGTTTGAATTGTCGTTTGCACC